GTCAGGGAACCCACCATCTTCTTGTAATGTTCCCTTGTTCCTGATGTGGAGGGTCCCAGGGATTAAGGTTGGAGACTGGGGCACCAAGGCTGAAGCCTCTGGGAACTCCACCTTCTCTGCAGGCTAGGAGTGGGCCTCTGGGGTTACAGATGTGCCTCAGCTGGGCCAGGGCCCACCCTCCTCTCCCGGTGTTTATTGCTGTAGAGCCCTGCCGTGGAGAGCTGCCGAATCAGCTTTCTCTGGCTGGAACCAGCTCCTGGAGCCGCACTGTCCTGTCTCTCTCACACCATCCACCCCTTAGGTAAACAGCCGGCCTCCTCCCCACTCTGAGAAGTTGCAAGGGGCTCCATTAGCCAGACGCCTAACTCCAAAAAGGATCCTGGCAATGGGATCTGTTTTTCTTCCAGCCTGAGTAAGGGCCTGGCTGGGAGACTCCACTTCCTGCCTGAAAAGGTGGCCGCAGAGCTCCCTGCTGGGCGGAGTCTTCCTTCCTCACTGCCCACGCACCCAGGCTTCCTCACGGAAGGCCCAGTCGGGGGCCTCCAGCAGATAGCCCCCTCAACTCAGCCTTTCATGCAGTTGTTTTATCTGTGGAACCTAACCCTGCATATCAGCCACTGACCAGGTCAAAGAACCCACTGTACTGTCTTCCTGGTCACCCAGAAGGGGCAACATTTGCATTGTGTGTCAAGCGTGGTCCCACTGCCCACCCTCCGCCATCTTGTGGGCCAAGAGGCTGCATGGTGCAGCTCTGCAGTGGCTACACAGAAGCAGCTTGGCTGGGTGCTTCTATTTGGTTTGTTGTGGAATCAGAGCCAGGGAATTTGCTTTCTTTGAAAGGTGACCTGTGGGCAGAGAAACTGTCACTGGCATCTGGTTAGCTGGATTTCCTTCTCCCATGGCCTGTGGGCTCTAGGGAAGACTGATGGGGAGGGCCAACACCAAGGTCCTGCTGGCTTAGCCATGATGGTAGGAATAGGTGACAGGGCTGGACTGGGCTCCTGAGGACTAGAGGTAGGAAGCAGGCCAGCTAGGGGCTCACAGCCCTGGAGTGGACTGGTTGATCCAGGAGTCTCAGTGGATGGGCTTATGTTGGCCTGGGAGTAGGAGGGGAGGGGAGGGCTAGATGGAACCAGAGGTGCAGGACGAGGAAAATCTACCATTGAAAGAAAAGATAGGTGAGAGGCTGCTGCCAAGCACCCCTCAGGAGGCCTTGTGGAGGAAAATCGAATCTGCCTACTTATTTGCCAGGCTGTCACATGACCCTTCCTTCCAGGAGGCATAGGAACCTAGTGAGGGAATTCAGATTGCCCTTTGACTAGGAAGACACAGGTTGTGACTGTCACTTGCCTCCTCCAGGAAGCCTCCCCTGACCTCTCCCTTCAGCTCCCCTGGGCTCCTGTTCTATATCCTTTCCATTCTCCATCACTCTGGACTTTCCTGGTCTGTCTCTAGCACTGGATCAAAGGTTCACATGCTTCCAGGCGGGGCCCAGGAACTTGCATTTTTAACCAACAGGCCCCCATGCATATCAGGTAAGCAGAGACATCACCGCACATTCCGAGAGCCATCACGCTCTAGAGCAGCACTGTCCAACAGAAAGAGCCACGTACGTAATTTAAAAATTTCTAGTAGCTGCTTAAAGACATAAAAAGGAATTGGTGAAATGAATTATTTAAATAATTTTATTTATATCTTGATCTAAATTATCAACATGCAATCAGCACAAAATTCTTTCACATTTCACATTTTTTCCATGCTAAGCCTTGAAAATCCAGTGTACAGTTGACACATGCAGCACATCTCATTTTGGACCAATCTCGTTCTAAGTGCTCAGTGCCACGTGTGGCCAGGGGCTGCCATGTGGACTGTAGCGCTGTAGAGCTTTCCTGCTAAGAGTGTGGCCCACAGACCAGCAGCTTCAACAGCACCTGCAGGCTGGGGAGAAATGAGGCCCAGGGCCCTGCCGAGGCCCACAGAACCAGCCTTCTCACTGCTGCCAGCATTTTGCATGCATGTCCCATAGCCCTGGGCTGCAGGAGCCCCTTGATGCCAGTGCTGGGATTGGACTTATTTCTAACAGAGGGCCTGGCACCTACAAGGCATATGTCAGTATATGTCAGTGTTTGGGGAGGAAAGACATGATTCGTGAATGTCACCTGCCCCGCCCACCCCTTTCAGCACCATATTCTCAGTGACAATGTGAGTCTGAAAGCAAAACACAGGAGTCAGAGAAAATGTATATAGCAGAGCTAGAGGGAAATTTAAGTTTCTGTACTTTCCTCCTGTAAACTCTGGAGAGAGACAGCCACTTGGGCAAGGTTCCACAGCTTGTTGTGTGCAGCTGGTCACCCTGTTTGGGGAGAGAAGTGGTACAGGTAAGGGCAGATCACTTCATACCTGGGCATGCCCCTGGGCCTACATTACTCCTCAGATGTCTCTGCCTTCTCCTCAGAGACCTTATGGAATTGTTGCTTGAAGGCCTCAGGCCTGGCCCACGCATAATAGTTATCCATCTATTTATTCTTAGTGGTCTGGAAAACATTTAAGGCACTTATAAAATACGCATAGAACACAAGATAAAACAAAAAAATTTTTTTTCAAAAAAAATATATTGGTCTAAAGGAAGTGTGCAGAGATCCACGGACAAGTTGTTCAATCTAATGTTGTATACAGTTAGCGGAAAGTCGGAAACAACCTAAATATCCAACAGTAGGGGAGTAGGTAAATAAACAATGCAAACATTGAAATTCCATGTCATGATTGAGAATGCTGATATGGAAATGTACATTGACATGGAAAAAATGTTCATTGTGTAATGTAAAAGCATCGAAGTGTTCATTTCATAAATTACATGCATGGAAGAATGCCTGGAAAGAATATACGTAGCCCTCGATATTAATGCTGCCTTTTCAGGGAGAGAGATTATAAGTGATTCTCTTTCCTTTTTTTGACCACCCGCTGCTTCTGTAATTTCTAGTTTTTTCCCTCAGTGAGCATGAATTTCTTATGTAATACAGATATGAAATGTATAAAAATAGAATATGAGCAAGGCAAACAGGAAAGAGAAAATTGGAGTTCTAGTTAGCAGAATTTGTTTGAAAATGTATTAATTAAGGAAAAAAAACTAAGTACAGTGTATAGAGTTATAGCCCAATGGCTATATTTACATGTAGCAGGAGATTATTAAATGTTTGAGATTTGAAGTTACAACATGAAAAACTCATGAGCTTGCTTTTGCTAAATAGCCGTCTGTATTCAGGGAAGTGAAAGTTAATCATGGTGCAGTCTCTGTCTTGTTTTGAATGGAATCCACCAATTCTCCCACCCCCTTTCATACAAGGGCTTTATGCATATCACGTAATGATTGTGCAAGAGAAAATCCTGAAATCTTGTGTAGAGCTGGATACATAAATGGACAGATGGACAGAGGTGCACACATACAACCTAGCCTAGGACCTCCTTCACCTGTCCTCGCTGGTGTTAGTAAGTTCCTAATTGGTCTTCTGGCTTCCGCCCGCTGGCCTGTTCTCTACACTGGGACTGGAGCTACCTTTTCAAAACATGGATCAGCTCGTGTCTCTCTTCTGCACAAAAACTTCAGGACTTCCCCTTGCATCAGGATGAACTCTTGAGTCTTCATAGCCTGCAAGGCCTTCTACATTCTAGCCCATCCTGCCTCTGGTTGCTTGTCCCTCTGCCCTGGTCACGTCACACTAGCCACATTGGTGTTTTCCGGCTCTTTGCTTCCTGTTCTTCTTTCCTGAAACATCCTCCCCCTCCAGAGTGGCTTGCTTCCTCTGCTCCTGTGGGTCTCTGCTGAATTGCTTCTGGATTCATAAGGACTTCCTCACCACTGCAGATGAAGTGACAACCCTGATCTTGCTCCAGTGCCTTACCCTACTTCACTTTTTTCATTGCATGTATCTCTCCTGACATGACCTATTTCCTTTTCATTTGTCCTTTTCCACTAGAATGTGAACTCACTGTGGGCAAACTTTGGCTTTTTTCTTTTTGCAGTACTGGGGATGCCACCCAGGTTCTCATCTGTGCTTGGCCAGCATTCTGCCACTGAGCTACATCCCTGGCCCCTAGCTTCTTTCTTTGGTGCCTAGTACTCTATATATGGGCTCAGTAAAGATTTGAAGGAATGGAAGAATGAATGGACTTTAGATACCATGTGACTGATCCTCTCATTCTACCAAGGATGGTACCCAGGGCTCAGCTGAGGAAGGAAGGTTCCCTGCCTTGCTTAGGGTCACACAGACTAGATTCTGGCTGCATTTCCCGCCTGTGCCTTAGAACTGAGATCACCTGCACACATAGGAGCCCTGACTCCTGTGTGTTTTTCCAGTTTACACAGAATTTCAGCCCAGAATAGCTAAAGAAAAAAAACAGTGTTTCTCCTGGAAACTCTTCCAGTGGGTATGTCCCTAGAAAAACAGTAGCAATCTCAGGGTAGGAGGGGACGAAGCAGAGGAAGGGGTCTTCCAGCAGTGGGGACAATGAGATAGATTTGGTTTTGCAATTAAAATAACATCTGGGTCTGTTTCTGCAGAGCAGTTCTAGAAGGTGGGTGGTCTGTCTGAAGTACCAGGTGGGGCCTTCCTCCATCCTGGCCCAGGAGAGTTTGGGATGGCCAGTGGCTAAAGGATTCACCCGCAGATGAAGAAAGAAAGAACTGAGCCCAAAGAAGCATCTGGCAACCCCAGTCTGGCCTAAAGGCCTGCTGGTCCCTGGCCCAGCCTCACTACTCTGGGTGTCTCCAGACACCTCCCCCTTCCCGAGACTATTCAGACACCCTCTTTGATGCATGGAGAGCCCTGGCCTCATCCCTCTCATGCCCCATGTGGTTTGTTAATCGTCTGTGAAATGAGGGATTTCAGGCGTCACTCATCCATGTGAGCGCCGTGGGCAGTGGAGTGGGGTGGGGTGGGGAAGGGGCGCTGAGGACAGTCTAGTCTTCTGAATCCCGTCTCTCTGTCTGTCTGCCTCCTTAGATGCAGCTTCTGGATAAATTCCCCATAGAAGGTGGCCAGAAGGACCCCAAGCAAAGGATCATACCCTTCCTCCCAGGTAAGCTCAGGTGGCCCCCCAAGGGGCTGAAGGTGACTTTGAGAAGGGCACTTATAGGTCAAGAGGTCAGTTACTAAGCCGGAAAAACCTTGTGGGTTTGGCCCATAAATCTGCACATTAATCATCCCCAGGGGATCCGGAAGCCCCTGATTTTTGAAGGCCACTGTCTTCCAAGTGGCTTCTCCAGCCTTCTAGTCCTGTGTCTGCTGCCCTCCGGCTTGTAGCCTCTGAGGAGTTTCTCAGGCTCTTGGAGTTTAGCTTCCTTTTCATAACAGGCACCGAGAGGCCAAGTTCTAGGAAAGGAAGAGGAACTGTAGGCAGGACTGTTCTTACTGCCTCCCATTCCAGTTGTAAGTCACCTCAAACTGAGCACACTCCTCAGATCTGAGCTCCGGAAGGCCTCACAAGTCATTACACACTCAGGTAACATCCCTCTATTCTGAGAGAGACAGGATTTGAACCCAACTTTTGTCTGGCCATAAAGGCCAGGACATTAACCACAACATCAATTTGGACTGTTTCAGACAACTGATTATGTTGTGTAATTTAGAGGAAGACGTCTCAGGTGTGCCTGGCCTGCTATTACTGTGATGCCTTAGGTTTGTGTAGACCTGCAGCGTAATTACAGAGTGCTTCTCTATTTGTTTTCGTGTACAGATCTTCCCACCAAGGTAGGTATTATCATTTCCCCAAAGAGAGGAAGATTTGAGGGTTCAGAGGGGTTAAGTAACTGCCCGTAGAGGTGGCAGAACTGAGGCGTGTACTCAGGTCCCTTATCCCACACCTGGTCTCTGCTAGTGGATAATACTGCCTTATGGCTCCCCTGGGCTTCTACCTGTCCCCAGGCCACTGGGCTTGGGTTTCCTGGGAAGCTTCCCTCCCTTTGGGTAAATGCTGGCCATGGACTCCCCCCACTAAGCCAGCCACCAGGACACTCCCAGCCCACAGTCAGTACCTACTTGTTGACCTGAAAACAGACTTGGGAGCCACAGAGTGGCCCCCCTGTGAAGGATGTCCTACTCACCCCCATCTTCCAAAGCATCAAAAGGCCAGAGCATGTACCACTGCCTGTCCTCAAAGACTGGTGCTAGAGCTGGAGAGAATTAGCTATAAAGGAGGAACATCTGAACCCCATAGTTTCTGAAGACCAGAAATAAGTATGTAGGGATCTCACCCCTTGCCGCAGTCCGGCTGCAGCAAAATAACCGGGGGGTGATGAGCAACTTGTGTACATTGATACAGCAGGAGTGGGAGCCGTTTATTGTAGGACAGGAGGGGTATATATACATTTCACACAGCTTATCTTAATTAACATAAACTAGATACAGCAGTCAACCAATAAGGAATCTCCACACTTAATGGCTCGTTGGCGTTACTTCACAAACCACTCCGTCTGGCAAAATGCCAGGTGCCATCTTGACTTGTTTACAGACCCTAACAACCCCTGGCCTCCTCCTTCCACAGAGGCAGAATATGGCTTCTCTGTTCCTAGCCTCCAAGTTGCTATAGGCTGACTTTCTTGCTTCATTTGGCTTCATACTGAATCCCAAGGGGATTTGGAATAGCCAACATCTAGGTCCACTACAACTTTAGATGCTCCTCCAGCACAGTCTGCATGCTCTGTTCACCTGGAAGTGGGAGCCCAGCTGGGGTGCTGTGGGCATAAGTATCCTAGAGGTAACAGGAGGACAGTGTGGTTCCCTGTTGCAGTGCGGTGGTGAACCTGGCCTTGGGCCATGAAGGCTACCCTTTTGCTCAAAAATGGGCTGTTTCTTCCACTTCTTTCTTGGCAGTAGCTCCAAGGGAAAAAGCTCCTTGCTGTCAGCCAGTGAGCTGTTTAGGAGGGGCAGGGCTGGCCTGGCCAGTAAGGGGAGATCTTCATCTAAGGAACCCTCAATATGGTGCAAGATAAGACCATCTCCATAATCAGAGAACCATATAATGCAGGATGTGGCCCTCTCCCATCATGCAGTTGTGAGTGTGAAAGGACTGGAGCTCAGAGAACTCACTGTGAGCTGAGGAGGTCAGCAAAGGCCTCCCTGAAAGGGGTTCCCAGATCTGACCCCTGGAGGCTAGTGAAGTTGGAGCATGGGGCAAAGGGCACAACTTTGTACAGCTGCCACCCAGTCCCATGTATAGGGGTCAGCCCTGGACCCCTGGCTCTGGCAGTTACTTATTGTATTAAACTCTCTATGCCTCAGTTTCCTCATTTGAGAAATGGGGATGATACCAATATCTGCTTTGTGACACTGTTGTATAAGATGAAATGAATCAGTGCATCTCAAGTGCTTAGAACTGTGGCTGACCCCAGTAGGTGCCAAATGAATGCAGGCCCTTATTACCAATGCCTCACACACCTGGTGTTTCATACCACACAGTCATGTATAATCTTATTTGATCCTCCCAGTAAGGTTACTGTCCCATTTTGCCAGAAAATAGAGGCCAAGGGATGCTAATAGACTTGCACAAAGCACAAAGCCAGGAGGCATAGCCAACACCAGAACTCTTAGGCCTGACATTGGGCTAAGGCTAAGGCTAAGGCTCCTTCCACGCAGGCTGCCTGGGGGGACAATAACCCAATGGCTGCTGTGAGACTCAGGCTCTATTCAAAGTTCAGTTTGCTCTAAAGGACTGGAGTATGGATTAAGAGAATTCACGTGAAGTACTTGGCACGGTCCCATAGTCAACGCTCAACAAATGGCAGCTGTTGGTAAAGTCACCTGCCCCCACCTCATCCCACCTGCTGAGAAAAGTCAAGCATGGAACACCTTCCAGCCCCTAAATACAGGTGACTGTGAATAGTGGGGGTATTGTCAAGGGGAGTGAGGTTGACTCCACGTCTCCAAAAGAAAAGTCTCCCTTGTCCTGGCTTGGCTCCCTCTCAGCCCTCCCACACTAGTGTTCTCCCTTGAACTCCTGTCCTTTGCTCTTTCACTCTCCAGGACTTCAGAATGCCATTGCTGGCCATTTGGAACCCATCCCAGAGCTCCCAAGCCCCATCCCAGGTCCTGGGACTTCCTCCTGCTCACAGGAATCCACCTTACCCCCTTCCTACTGTACTCGCTCCTCACTTTGAATGTGAAGGGAAAGGATTGGGGCAAAAGAGCCCAACACAATCAGAACCAGGCTGGGAACCATGAGGATTCCCACCCACCCCACCTGCTATACCAAAGGGGGTCCTCAGAGGAGAGGATATAAGTGAAGGTCAGTGAGGAACATGGATCTGCAAGTGATTTTGGAGAGTGTGCTCTCACCTGTGAGTTTCCCACAGCAGAGAGGCAAGCAGGACAGAGAAGGGGAAGAAGTGAGGCAGAGAGGTAGCGGCAGCTAAGTCCAGACTCCTTCTGATCCCACTGGGGTCAGGGTGAATGGCACTAGAGTTGACCTATCTGAAGGACATATTGGTCATCTCTTGTCTGCCCTGGAGGATGTGAAGTATAGGTACGGTGGCTCCCAATGACTGAGGATACACCTCTGAGAAACTGAGGCAGCTATGTGACTAGCAGTGACACTCTCTGGTAATCTCTTAGCATCTGCTGTGTCACCTGACACCCCTTTGAGGCTCTGTTTCCACCTCCCTGCCTTGGGGTATGGTGTCTGAGGTCACCTGCCAATTCCCCTAGGCTCACCTCTGGCAGCAGGGACTCAGCAGAACCCCAGCGAATGCAAACTCTCTTGCCACCCTAGGGAAGCTTAGCAGGAAGCCCTGGGGACAGCTCTGTCAGCCCTTTGCCTCAGCTGGAATTTCAGGGGATGGAAAATCCCAGCAGAGGAAACAGAGCATGCATTATTTCCCAGAGGGTCTCAGTTTTGGCTATAGAGGTGCTGGGATGTGATGAGCATTTCTGCTTCCTGGGAGGGGTCTGTAGGTGTTTGGAGTCTCAGTCCAACTGCTCTGTTCTGAGCCACCTGAACAAAGACATGATGAGGCCCATTAGCTCTTGGGTGTTGTGCAGTGACACTGGTAGAGGTAGGGCTTGGAGCCTACAGGGGGTCCAGGGGCCAGTCCAATTATTGACATTTTCATGTCAATCAGATCTGACATAAGAGTTGTAGGGGGACTTCCCTTGGAAGGACCCTCAATTATTTTCACCAGGGCTAGAACTGCTTTTCTGACTGGCTAAAGACTGTATTGGAATTTCCAGTCTGCAGTGCCCATGGGAAGGCCAAGGAGAGTTAGGGTGCCCACGTGGGACAGGCAGTTCTCCAGCAAGGCTTACTCAGGGGGAAAACTTGTGGGTTTCGTGGTAGGAAGAGTGACTCCAGGATGTGCCCACCTTGGGAGTGACAGTGGATGCCAGAGATGGAAGGAACCCCTCCGAGCCTGGCCTCCAAACCTGTTTTATGTGACACCTATCTCTCTGGCTGACCTTTGTGGCCTCCTTTGAGACAAGGCCCTTGTCTACTTCTTTCACACTTCGGTCACGTGCTAGACACATGGTAGGTGCTGTTCTTGCCATGTCCCGGGTCTTTCCTTGGCCAGGGGGGAATTGTCACAGCCAGCCTCCACTAAGTTCTGCCTTTACCTTTCCCTCTGGCCTCCACACCTCCCAGTTTAGGGACCTGAGACATTGTACCCAGCAGTCCCTCCCCCAGCTGTCATTGCCATCATGAGCATCAGGAGTGCCCTGTGTGAGGCAAGGAAGTAGCCTGAACCTCAGGTGGCCTTAGGTGACCTATAAGGGCTTTCTCATTCATTGAGTAGTTGAGATCACTAGCACAAAGTAATTGATTTTTTTTCTTAAAACTTAGAGTATTATTATTTTAATATGATTACAAATAAGGCCTTCAGAGCACTATCTCCATTTAACTATCAACCTAACAAGATTGGCTATTTGGTTTCCTAAATCATAAGCATTTTTAACTTTTTATTTTGAAATAATCCTAGAAACCCAATGTTGCAAAAATGCTAGGCACACTACATTCCACCTCCATACCATAGGGCAGATGGCATTGTTTCCATTTTAAAGAGAGATCGAGCTGGGCATGGTGGTGCACAC